AGAGGTTCCCTGTTTCATCAGGATAAGTCCAGACCAAAATACTGTTAACAGGTTGCTTCGCTTACAAAAATGAGCACAGAGGTCACTGGCTTCTTAAAATACAGTGAAACACAACAAAATAATGTACGGTGATTTTAACTGATTCTTAAATGAACGGACGCAATCAATTATTTAGCTGACAGTGTTTATCTTTTCAACATTTGAAGGGGCTTTATGCAGCCCAGCTGTGAAGGCATTTCCTCCGTGGGACTAAGGCATGTATCTGGGGGAGAGGGGTGGGGAGCACTTGGGGTGGGGGCAGGTGGGACTGTCCTGGGCACCCAGGTGCCCCACCCCCTAGATGGGCATAGACTTGTCGACCCTGTGGTTGCACAGGGGGAGGGGGTGGGTAAGCAGGTCAGCACAGGTACGGAGTGCCTGAGTCAGCCCACAAGTACTGGCTTCCTCCTCTGCCCACGCACCCTGACTCTGGAGGGCCAGGCTGCTCGGGACCCTGATCCCCACCTCTGAGCTGCTTGTGGTTCCTAGTCACTGCCCACTAAACACAGCCAACAGGGCTTCCGTGCACACGCATCGGTATCAGAAGAAGAACTTGGATTATAAGGAGTGAAATATCAGCCCAGCGTGTGGCACCATGAAGAGCTCTGGCCAGGACACACTGTTTACAGTCAGCAGTTGCCTGGAAAATAGATGTTTACTTGTAGTAAGTGTATTAAGATTTTTGGCATCAGGCAATAGATATCCTGCATTGTCTCTTCTTACAGAAAACTTTGCATTGGAATAAACCCATAATTAACAATTCCCTTGGCAAGGAAAAATGTTGAACACCAATACTATTCTATGTTAGCATTTCAGAGAGAGAACCAAAACCAGGAGACTTTCTTTGGAAAGATGGCCTTGAAAAAGTGGTATGCTTCATTTAAAACTGTAAGTGAAATATTTGCTAAATAAAGATTAAATGTCCCTAATATTCAGCAAGAACTTGAACATGCTGGGTTTCCCTGGACCACACGTGTTCTGCTGAGAAGCTGTATCAACTCATTTATCCTCTCAGACCCCTCAGGCCCCTCATGGGTTTCCTTGGCTGGAGACGGCACAGGGTATTTCCTGCTGTGTCCCAAGAACAAGGACAACCCCTCTGGAACATGTGCACAGCACTGTAAGACTAGCATCCTGCTCTCGCTTTAGACACTGTGTATTTGTTCTGCTTTGTTATCTTAGTAAGCAGATTTGTGCTCCCAAAATGCTACTCTATGGATAGGCGGCTCCCAGCATGCAAAGTTGCAAATAGCTTCGCACTCTGGTTACCAATCTGTTCAAGACAACTGGGCCCACGATCAAGCAAGAGGGTCCAGGGTCAGAGGGTCCATCCTTAGCACATGCATGTCCTTGGGCAACTGGCAACCTTTCTTAAGTCTCTGTTCTCTCGTATGTAATATAGATTTGTGACAAAGATTCCATGGAACAAGCACTGCAAAATCCTAGCACAGACTCTGGCAGCTGGTCATGAGTCTGAGAACCAGGTGGATAGCAGGTTCAGGTGGGCACCCAGGCGCCCTTATAGCCTGTAGAGCCAGCCTGGTGGCAGTGGCAGAAGCAGCAATGGGTTCCCTACCCTTGGCTTCAGTAGGGCCCGATCCGCACAGGGTGAATGAGTGGAGGAAATTATGACGGTGTAACCCACCCCTAACTGCTCCCCTCGGCGTTAGTAGCCTGACTGAGTGTTGTCAGGTCATGCTTGTCTTTTCTCATCTTCTGCTTTTTCCACACCCGTTGACAGCGCTCTGGAGCAGAACTGGCAGAGGCTTCCTGAGGGCGGGCAGGTCGGGGGATGCAGGGGAGCCCCCGGCAGCCTGCTCTCTGGAACACAGTTTGGTATGCCCACATCTAGAGTAGAGGTTTGCTCTTACTCTGCTTTTACTTTTAAATGACCTGAGGGCGTAGGACCAATCCTTCTGCTGTTGTCCTGATTTTCTGTTCATGGCGGGCCACATGTTCTTTCCTGACACCCGACCACTTGGAACATTCCGAACCCTTTCTTGGTCATGTGAGGGCTCTCAGCATGGCGCTGGGGCTGACTGACGAGCCCTGGCTCTTGCTAGGTCCCTGTTCTATGCCACTCTATGACAGCAGTGTGTGCCAGTCAGAGCAGAACTGAGGCAAGGTGGGTGGCATGAGGGCTGGAGTAATCTCGTTTCCATTTCTAAAATAATGCCTCTTGCTTTCTTCCTTAGAGTATGACATTATTTGCAGAGCTATTCTAGTAAAGTTTTCAAACACCCTGGGATTATGGTACTCGAACGAAACTTTCACGCCCATGGGTTGAGCCCCTTTGGTTCAAAACTATTCCACGTATAACTACCCGCTGCTGCTTCTTTCCCACACAGCCACAAGGGCACATACACACGCATAGATCCAGCCGGGCAGACACGCGTGTGTGCACACATGCACACACATGCACCACACACATGGGCGCCGTGTGCAGGCAAACACGCAGCAGGAACAATGCACTGAGAAAACCGTCCGGTTGAGTTTGTAATGCAGAATGGGTTGCTGAGTGCTGATAAGTGAGGAAGTGCGACCAGACAGTTTAATCCCCCAATTTCCTGTCTTCTAATCAGCCCCTGATTCTTTGGGTTTTAAATTAGAAACATTCCTGACAATATTCAGGACAGGTGAGGGAAAATCAGCTAGAAAATAAGTAAGGACAAAGCATTTATTTCACTGTCTAAAGTTCACAGGAGAAATATGAGCGTAATAACAGGAAATCAAGATTTTAAAGAGGACAGCGGAAGTGCAGAGCTGGCCCGAGCCCCCAATCCCAGCTCTGCACGAGGGACACTGTGGTCATAATTAGATTTAGAGAGAAAACGAACATAGTTTACTGTATTTGCGTCTCTCTGAGGATAGTACGTGGTACCCTAAAGAGTGTTGTACAGGGCTGACCTGAAAGAAAATGCCGGTAACTTAATGCACGTGGGAGAAAAAACCTCTTACCCTTCCTAATTCACATTTTGCTCAGAATTAGTTACTGCTAATACTGTGAGAAAATAATATTTGGAAAGTGGAGAAACTGTTGAAATTGATACATATTCTTAATATAGTCACATGTATTTATAATGGGTAAAATTTAAATTGTGAATTTAAAAATACTGAGATGGTAAGGTCAATGAACTCTGCAAAAAACACAACAAAATAAACATAGTGTTCAAATGCATACAATGTGAGATATATAAATATTTTTACCAAAGATTCTTAAAAATATACAAGGTGCTGAAAATATGAAAAGCCTCATTATTTCCTGATTTTCCGCCTTTTGAGTTTTTCATTTACAGCCATTGAGGTAATTTCCAAGTTATTTTCATCATTATCATGAAAGAGCGAGTGCAAATTCCTAGACAAATCTTCATTAGGCAATGTCTTCAGAGGAACAGAGAAAGCAGTCATTAACAAACATCGTCGAGAGTTATTTTAAAAATTGACATGGTAAACACAATCTAAGATATGAATCTAAGCAAGTAACAGTGACAAAAGGTGCATACGAGTTCTTAATCTTTCTGCAGTCGTTAAAGCTGCCAGTCATGTGGGAAGCAGGGTAGAGATTTTTTAAATTGTTGAAAGCAAGACTGTCTCATAGAAGAATTTTGCTAATTTTTACACGTGTACTTTTAAAAATAGACATTTATGCCAAAAGGCATAGAGCATCCTGCTTGCCCGTGTTTTCCTGTTGTACAAAGTTTGGGCTGTAAAAATTTGGATTAAATGACACACAATTACTGATTGAAAAATTGTACATCAATTTCTAAAGAGAATAATTCTGGAATAAGTGCTTGAGGGGCTGGCCTAGGCAGGAAGGGTCATAGAGTGACTTAGGAACCACCATTTGGGGCCACTAGGAGTTTTAAAATTGAATGGTCAGAGAAAGACAAGTGCATGTGGGAATTCACACGAAACCTGTCCGTCAAACTGGCATCACTAAACCCTCACAGAGCGGAGGATGTTTTTTCTGGCTCCCTTTTTATACCCGTGGGTAGAAGGGAGAGAATTCTCCTGCAAAGAACTGTAGCTTGGAGCATCCAGGTGCTTCCATTTCATTTAGAGCAAAGGAAATGTTTATGAGGGTTTTCTTTAGTTTTCTTTCAGGAGGTTTCAACTCTAGATGTGACAACACGTCTAGATGAAGCTGATATGTAATATCCATTTCTTGATTTGCATGATTAAAGCAGTGGAGAAGTGGTTCGGATATCAAAAGCTCCCTCATAAGCGGCAGCGCCAAAGGTAATTACTGTTCAAATGTGCACGCTCGGACCCGGGCCGCTCATTAACTTTGAAATTGTTTACAACTCTGCAAGTTTGAATAAAAGTTTCTGTCTGACTTTGGGATACTCAGAGCCATCCCTTGCTCCACTATGACATAAAAATGCATTTATCATTTCTTATAATCCATGTTTCTCATGACATTAGCTTCAGTAACAGCAAAACAATGACAGAACAGAGATGTCCCTGCTCAGCATTTTAAGTTACAAAACAACCGTTTCTTAAACAAAAAGCCTTTCTAAGTCAGAGCTAAAGTTTATACGTAAAATGAATTAAAGATTAACCTAGTCGACCGACTTCTACATAGTTATGAAAAAGTGCACTTAAACCCCTACTGTAAGCCAGACGAGTTGTTGGGGGGGAGAGGGGAGAAGGAGAAGGGAGGTTGTTATTCCCAGTCTTTTATTAACCGGTTTCTTTCATCCTAGCGTGTCTTTATTATTTAGAAAACTCAAAACTGTCCGCGCTCTATCCCGTCTCACCGAAAATTCTAGAGTGGGCAATGACTTCTACAACCTGGTCCAACATATGCCCCAAAACTAAAACAAACAAACTCATTTGCCATACAAATTGTTTACGATTCATTAAAAAGCAAAATTGCATATCCTGGAGCTGGCAGCTGAGGCCGGGCCGCGAGGGCATTCACTGCGTGCCTTTGTATGCTGTGTGCAGAGCCGAGCCGGGCTCCCACCAGGAGCAGAGCCCGCGCGCCGGACGACGGTGAGGTAATTTTAAAGCTTTATTCGCCTTTGCTGGGAAACCCAGAGCTCGTGCTGTCCTTTGATTAAGGACTCCTACGAACAAGGGGGAAGTTTAATTTTTCTCAGTTGAGAAAATTGTTTGGGATTGTGAGAAAGCGTGCAGAGGAGAGGGTGAGTGTTGTTCTAGGACAGAGATCTAAGAGGAAATGCGAAATTTGTATAATTTTAATTAGTCCTCACCCCTTTCACCTATTTCTTCCTCAATTTCCTGTCGATCATAGGACATTTACACTAGAATTATTTGTAACTGGTAAATCTAAATGCTATGCTATACGGTCACCTTTAAGGAAACAAAAAATCGATTTATTCCCTCTGGTAACTTCAGCTTCTTCAGAGAGTACTCTGATTTCTCACCCCCTTTTCAAAGCAAAGATCTAGAATCACTGAAGTTGAGAGACACTTCCCTGTGTTTGCAGCCAAGCAGCAGCATGTAGCTTTTAGCATTGTTTATTTTTAGTCAACTGCATTGCTAAATGTTTCCACCACTTTTATATGTTATCTTCCCGGTGGTAAAACATCTGTAAAATAATTTTAAATGAAAAGCCACTTCCGAGTAAAGTTTACAGAAGAAAGAAGTTACAGTTTTCCAAGTTTAAAGAAAGAAACATTTGGAGGTCTTTGCAAGAAATAAAGATGACGCAATTTGCCACAAAAAGTAGCAGTTTACAAGCTCTAGGTGCTCCTGAGACACGAGGAAATAGCATGTTTCCCTCAGAACATGACATCAGCATGCAGTTTTTTCAAAGCTTACAAGTTAGTCTAGAAAATAATAGCCAGCCCAATCTGTACATTCAATTCCACTGTTCAACGAGCAACGGAAGGCAAAGCAATAGCAGCATCACTGCACACAGTAAACCTTGTTCCTGCTGGCAGAAACTCTAATGGGGAAATAAGTGCCCTGAATAGAAGTTCAGGGTCGAAATGGATAGTCTGCTGCCAGTCTCCTTAGCCAAAAGCTGCGCGTAACACTGTCCGGAAATCACTGGTGGAGTTCCTGACGTCCGGTTAAGAAATCGCAGGTTAAAACGCACACGTACACACATACCCACAAGCACTTTCGCCAAGTCCTTGGAACGGACACTCTGCACCCCAAGAAGCAGCCGAATGGCATCCTGCGGCAGCTCACTTCTAAAAGCTTCTCCGTCCTCTGAGTTCCTAAAACTCGCCACAGCGGCACCGCCACGGTCCACGCAGGGGAAAGCACTCTGCAGGTCACACAGCGAGACCGACCACGTCCCGTTTTGTGATCCCACGCACCAGTCTCCCCTTCAGCATCTCTCTCTCTTAAACTGATATCTATGAGAAACGAGCTGAAGCTCACGGTCCAGTTAAGAACGGATAATACATTCATTGTCCCGGCAGCAACTTTTTTTCACTCCCTGGAAGAATTCACGCTTGCCGCAAGAATAATAATTATGGAAAACTAGAAATGCGCTGCTAACGAATTAATCCTTAACGGACACCACCCTAACGAGGGCAGCGGCGAGGCGAGGACGTGCTTCCTCCGGACAATGAGCCATTGTGCACCTCCCTGCCGGCTCCACCTCTCAGAGTCCGCGGAGGCAGAGGTGGTCTGGCCTGGTTGACCAGGACCTGGGAGTTAATTCGTTCTGCGGCCACATGGTGGGACTTTATGAGAACTTCCTCACACCCAGAGCCCGGGAAGGCAGGGTGTGGGGCTTTGCCACTGGAGCCAGAGCCCCCGGGAGACCAGGACCTGATCTGACACAAACAAACTGGGAAGGTAGTGCCACTCTGGGCCTGCTGGCCGACAGGTAGAGGGGAGCCGGAGCACTCGCGCCGGTGACTTGGACAGTCCTGTGGCGGGCAGGACCCGCATCCACGCAGGGCTGGCTTTGCCCAGTGCCCACCATGCATCCTCCGAAAATACCAAAGCCGGGAAGACCACTGGGAACAAAGTAAGGGGACGTGAAACTAGAGAGAGGGCAAAGCCCCAGGGGCAGACGCGTGTCTCGGTTCCTACCCCAACACTGCCGGGCCAGAACGCACACTCCACCTTAAAACTTTTGATACTGTTAAAAAAAATTTAAAAGCAGAGAAGCAAACTCCAGACCCTGTTCCCGGCAGAGAGGGCCAGCGCTGCTGGAAGCAGAGCCGCAGAGTGCAGGGAGGGGGTGGCAGAAGCAGCAGTGCGGCGGCTGCCTCGCTGAAGAGTGTGAAAAAATCAAATGCGAATTTGATGAATGTGAGGTCTGGGACATTTTGTCAAAGAGGGAGGGAAAGTAGAAAAGAAAAAAAAAAAGGCAGTCCCGGCTGCCAACTCACCATCCACCAAGTTCTGGCCGAGATGTCGTAGCAGAGCTGCCATTTGATGGAGCCGTCGGAAGCTTTCCCTGCCATTATGCTGTCAGCAGGCTTCATGTGATGCTAGCTCACGGGAGATAAGACACCTAATTGAGAAAACATTTGCGGTGGCATGTGGGGCAACATGTAGTCCGGTCCACACCATATGGAATCATGGGTAAAAACATCTCCTTGACAATGAACCAATCTCTCCAGACCCAGTAGCAAGGTGAAGTGGATGGAGTGTGCTGCTAGGGCTGTCTCTCCTCTCTCCAAACGCGAGCCCACTGCTCACATCAAAGGGAGGTGGTTAAAATTAGGGCTTCATCACTCAGATGATTTTGGTCTGCAAGGTTTTTCCTCTCCTCCCAACAACGCCCCCCCCTCTTAAGGAGAATAAAGAGGTTTAATAGGACAAAGGCAGGTAGTGGCCGGGGAGGAAGATCGCCACAGGCTATTAGCCTAAAATTTCTGCTTGACAGATGGAACTGCTTAGAGACTATCATGCGATGTTTTGGGCTTTTCTCCCCCAGCCCCCCTCACTTTAAGTCTGATTCAGTATCTGTTTTTCACAGCCACTTTTCTCAAGAACGTGAGCTGCGCATTTAAAAAAAATGTTTAGTTGAGTTTTTCAGTTTTGCTGTCTTACACATCTCTGTTGGAAGCAAATGGAAAAGTCTCAAACTAAATCTGGGAATAGCTGAACAGGTTTTCCCAAGGAGGGGGAAAAAATTCCAGGAGAAAATATTGCCCCTTCTTTACTTTATTTTTAAAAATTGTATTTGTTAGTGAATTTCATTGCAAAGGAGCCTAGCTAGGAAATTACAGCTTTGCAGCCCCTGGGGTTTTGGGTCAGTGGCATTATGTAGAGATGTGTGTTTCTCTGGGAGTAAATAAACAAATTGTGGATACAAGTCCTCTCCCAGGCAGGGCGACGCACCACCTATATTTTGGGAGGCCTTTTAAAAAATTAATTCTGGACTTCTCTGTTCTTCGCGAATAAAGTAATCGGGCATTATTAATTAGTTTAACCCAAGTGAGGCTGTGCTTGACACAAGTACCTCCTTAACTAGGGAAAATCACTTCTGATTTCTTTTTTGTAACCTAGCCATTTTCTTTTTTTTTTCTCTCTCTCTTTTTTGAAAGAAAATAAAAACAAACCACAACATAGACCTATCAATAAAAAGGGCTATAAAACAATTTATTTTTTTAAGTGAGGAAAACTTCAGACAGCTGCTAAATTTCAAGTTATTTTGTTCTGGACTAAGCAGGGAGGAGGAAGTAGAGAGAACGATTTGCATTTGTCCTGGTTTACTCCTTCAGATGGAGTGACAGGAGGGACTGCAGAGTACCCTACGTGAGAGCAGCACACCAAGGCCCTCCTTACTTTCTGTGAATGTAAGCGGCCCGTCCCAGGAGCTTCCATGAGGGCCGTGGTTCTGTGTCCTCTAACCCTGCAGTGTGGGCCCTCAGGGGTGGGGGCAGGAGACAGGGAGAATTCACCACCACTAATTCTCAAGGCCACCCCATTGGGATTACTTAGAAAGTTCTGCCTCTCCAGCAGCACTAGCCCATGGATTTCTTTCTAGTCCCATTTTTGTCTGAATGATATTTAGATTAACTTATTCAGGTCACATTTTAAGCTACAAGGCCTTATTGGGTACTTTTTTTGATTTCTTATTTCTGATACTTTCCCTAGAAGGTATTATTTTAACCATTTAAAACCATGGTAATACAGTACGTAGCTGTTTTATTCAAGAGAATTTTATCTAGTTTCACCAGGAATGTTTTCCAGTTTTGGGCACAATGCACAGAGGGCTCCAAGAGCGAGGCACGAATATAATAAACACGGTGTTTTTTCCTCCTCACTCTCATTCTAATGGGAAAGCGGCTGAGGACAGCCATGCAAAGGAGATGCTGCTGTGTTTTCAGGAGTCGGCTTGCACCCTTGGTCACCTAGGCCTTTCTTCTCAGGAGAAGGGTGGCTTGAGCAATGTTCAGTCACCCCGCTTCAGTGCCTAGGAGCTAGGGAGCCACAGCTGGCCCTAACCCAGGACCACTGCCCTGGCTCGGCCAAAACCTGCCCTGAGCAAGTGCAGCATCCTACAGTGACTTGGGTTTTCTTCGGCTCAGCATTGGAAGAAAGATAAGGAGAGAAGTTGTAAACTCTGAAAAACATAAAATAGCACCCTCCAAAAAAGGGAAAGGAAAATAAGAAAAGAAATGCAGTGTGTGTTGTCTTGGAATCCGCCTCCTGCTTCACGGTAGCCATCCTCCTCGCCTCTGATGAGCAGACAAAACCAGGGTCCACCTCCTTCAGGGTATCTCTGCCGGGTCCAGGCTTGGAGGCTCAGGGGCCCTGGACTCTGGGCCACAGTCTGCCTTCTCAAGTTTGGCTTGCAGCAGCTGAAGGAGGGAGGAGCTGCCATCTGAGCCACGCTGTGCATGGCCATCACCTCAGAACGCGGGAGCAGAGGGGCAGGGAGTGCAGACCGCCCTGTGCGTGCAGGACCCGGGAAAGCCGTGAGGCACTAGCACTGCGGGTTGCACACGGACACGATACGCGGACTGTGTGACGGAGGTCTAGACCCAGAACAATTAGGTGTGCTTAACTTCATCATTGTTCTCTGAGAGGCTGGGGGAAGCTGTCCTTCTTCACATGCAATCGGTCCTTTCACAGTGTGGCCCGCCGTTAACAGCCTTAAAACAAGATTAAATACAACATGTTGAATATTGCAATTATTGTGGGAAATAAAATTATTTGGTGAGCATAATGGGGAGCAATTGAAGCATTTAACATGATCCAGGAAATGCTACTCCAAACAATTGCATTTGCTTTATGCATTTTTCCCCTCTGATTGCTGACAGATGCCTTTTTGGAAACAAACATCTAAATGCTTTGCCTTCAGTCAGAAAAAAAAATAACAGAAAGCGGCTACATGTTTCGAATTTAACTCTTGTCATTTGAATACTTCTCCCCAGCGCACGTGAGTGCGTCTAAGGCAGAAGCAGCACCCCTGTCCGGAAACGGGCCACCAGAATTTGGGATTTCTGACCCCTCTGAGGACATGTGAGGGATCTGGACCCCGGGCCTCGCAGTCAGGGTGGTAGCAGAGGGAGCGGGAGGGCCCCAGGAAGGTCCTGACGGCTCACTGCAGGGAGCCTCGGACTCAGCGCGAGTCACTTTCCAGCCCACTCTGCTCATGGGGCCTAGGGCACCCCGATAAACCAGCACCCCTTTACTGGGAAGACCCCCAAGGGTTTCAGAGGATGGGGACCGCCGGCCTCTCCGGTGGTGGACAGGCATGCCGCAGAACAGAGGGGCGGACGTCTGCGGTGCCGGCACTGTGCCACTCTCCCAGGCCACTCAGCCTCCTGGAGGCTCTGTGCTCCATACTGATTGGAAAATAGGCTGTAACACACGCTCAGCACATGTGTGCACGCGTATCCACAAGTCACAGCTAGGCGCACAGCGCACACTGCGCACGGTCCCTGATGTGCGATGGTGGCCTGGCCCCGGGAGTCCGTGCCAGGCTCCTTCCCTCCAGCCTTGTGTGGTAACCCGAGCTTGCTCCCAGCACCGCAGCACCCAGCACCCACTGCTGCGATCACCCTGAGGCCTGGAGGGCAGGCAGGGACTGCCTCTTCCTCGCCTGAGAGTCTTGAGCATTGGGTAAGCTGGGGGGACCACGGGGTCAGAGGAAGATGGTGCAGAGCACGGGTGATCTGACTCTGGTGGCGTTCTCCTCACATACTCAGCGCTTCCCTGTCAGCTTGCCGCCTGGTTCCCCACGTCAGTCCCTGGCCGCTTGGGTCCTGGTGATCCCCAGCTCCTTTGACTTCCTGTCACTTCCCGTGCCCGCACGGCCCATTTGTACTTGGTGTAGACGGACTGCTTTATTATTGCCGGTCTTCGAGGAACATATGTCTTTTATTCATTCATTCATCCATTAAATGGCAAATTCTTCAGTGCATCCAATTAAGTTTTTTCTACTTTTTAATCTGTGTTTCCAGGACCCTTGGAAATGTGAAACCCTCGGAGAGCAACTTGACTTTGAATGCAGCATATAATCACCACTAACACACAGTGTGTTTGCTCTTGGCCGGGCACTATTCCAAGTTCTTTCTGTTTTCCCAGGTAGGTTCTCAGGAGGTGCCGTTTTACACACTGCAAAGCAGACTCCAGAGGTTGAGGGGACTTGTTAGGGTTCCAGAGTCCGAGGTGGGAGGAGGACCCATGTGCAGGGATCACAACAGCTGTGGTGCAGCCTCTGAAACCAAAGAGGGAGAAGACCCCAGACCTGCAGCTCATCTGGCTCCTGAGGTGCTTTCAGGTGTGATGTAGCACACAAACTTCCCACACCTGCAGGGATGGTGTGGTGTTTTTCCACCTGCAGGTCAGGGCGAGTAGGGGTCAAGCCTAAAGCTGCAAGCTACACAGGAAGAGTAAGGATTCAGCCCCGGAAGTTGTGCCTGGCCTGTGTCAGGTGAGAGCTCTGGGGCAATGCATTGCCTTCCTTTTATAGAGTGAAATGTGTGGCTTAACAAATTGGGTGTTTGAGTCACTAGGTGACCTTGAGTCACTAGGGTGCTGGACAAGACGAAATGAGGAATGTGGCTGAGGCTGTGGAGAAGTTTTGAGAGGGGCAGCGGGTTTTTAAGATAGAAACAAGAAAAGCCTGTTCTGCAGAGGGACTGTTTACCATTCACACCTAGGTCTTCCTCCAACCCAAGGGTGGTGCTCAGAGCCTCGCCCTGTGACCCTACCCCTGGGTGCTTGGTCACTTGTGGGCTCTGGGTCGAGAGGAGGAAGCCGCACGAAGGGAGAGTCGAGTTCCCCACAGCCTGGGAGGTGCTGCGTTCCTCGGTGAAGATTTGTCCCATTCCAGAGAGAGTGGCCACGTCCCCTGCTTAGGCACACACCACTGATGGCACGGCTGTGTCACCGAATGGTAGAGGTGAACGCCAGGGAGGAGAGGGCAGCACTAAACACCCAATTTGTTAGTGCCAGGTCTAGCCAGCCCCAGGCATACGGATGATCTGCCTGGGGATTGTGAGTGTGTGCATATGTGTGTGTGCACATGTATGCATGGGCATGCACATGTGCATGTGTGTATACATGTGTGTTCTTTCTCTGCTGTGTTCTGCAAAGAATTGGTTTTCTTTTTGGTGGCAGTTCTTGTGTCTCATTTCAACTTGTAAACTCTTTGACTTTTGCTCTCTCTGGATTTTCTGTTACCGAGCTGTCACCCAAGATTGGACGAAACTCTCTGCCCCTCGTTAAAAAAGAAAAAAAAAGTAAGAATGAACACAACGCAACCCTGTAATAAGTACATTCACAACTTTCCGCGAGGCGCTTAGGAAAACTAAAAGGTTAATATATTCTAACTAGATGTTGGGTGTAGAATGTCAGATCTGTCAAATTTCATTAGAATGCACTGCTCATTGGAAAAGATTTGATTTCTTTTGCCACTGTCCTACTACGTTCCAGTCACACACTGCCAGCAGCAGCCCGCTGAAGACCACAGGCTGGCAGTGTGGGCTCGGGTGGGAACCAGCCGCACGGCCATCTGTTTCCGATTCTTCACTGAGCCAAGAAGTGCGGTGAGGAGCGCTCTGCTCACCAGGCTGCTCCCCTGTTCAGGGTGTTAGTGTTACAGGGGAAGTGATCTCTCCCAGACATCGGGGGAGCCGCGATCCTCACGGAACAGGACTGCAACACACATGCACACACACTCACAGCACACATACTCACAGCACTCAGACACCTTTTGTTAAAGTTGTGGGAAAGGCTGCCTGAAACTTGCTACTTTGTGGGGTTTATGAAGTATGTTTTATTCAGCAGTGCAGCTTGGGCCTCCTTTAACCCTTTGAATGGCCAAGTATCTCTGGGATGCTTCCATGGGCACAGTTGAAATGGTCAGAGGAGGCATCTGAACCACCTTGAGTGAGCCAGCTTCCAGGGATGTACGATTCTAGGGGTCATCATGGAGCCCTTGCCTGGCTGGTGCAGGCAATCTGAACTCATGCAAATTAGCAGCATCAACTCCTTTGCCAGGGGTCCCACCCCACAGGTGGATGGTGGGCTCACTGTGAATGGGGAGATATTGGCTATGCCTTCCTGTGTGGGGTTGGTCCTCTGTCTGGCTCTTTGGGTGGGTCATTTTTAGAAAAATGTGGAGGTGAAGTAGCACGGCTGAGTGTGTCAAATGTGATAGGAATGCCACTTAATCTGTCATAAACATGAACCTGGGGACAGGTGATTGCTACCGGGCAGGGTTTCAGAGTGCAAAGAAGAAAGATGTGGCTTCACCCAGGGGACCCCAGGTCTCCCAGTGTGATGCAGGTGGGCTCTGCCTTGCAGATCACAGGTGTGTGGTGGGCGTCACATGTCCTCTGCTGGCTTCATCTGTAAGTGGGTTGGTGACGGCTGACTTTTGGGACTGTGTAGAGTTAAATAACCTCTAACCTGTGTACTGGGACAAAGTTCCCCAACGGTGCTTAGCAGGTGCTGGAAACACGTTGGTTTCTCTTTCCTGTGCTCCTCCCTGCCCACCAGGTCTGCACTTGTGTCCCTGCTCAGGGCAGCCCGCCTAGGCCCCAGCTCCACGGGCCAGGCCTGCACAGGGTGCTGCATGGAGCCTCGAGCAGTGAGGTGTGTCCTGTATGCTTTTGGTTTATGGTGAAGGAGAAAGAATTTTGACAAAAATGACTTTTTTTTTTTTAATTTAAAAAGAGGAGGCCGAGCAGAGAGTCACCGGGAGTCCAGGAGCAAGTGCTTGTGGGGATAATCGCCACGGGCCACGGCTGCCCCCACACTGACTGCCCTGAGTTCATGCTGATGTGCGTGGCTCTGGCTGCCATTTCTGCTGGTTGTGCTTCACCCCGCTGGCTGGGTTGCTCTTGGGGATGACACAGTCCCTTGCTGGGTAGCTTTGGAGGTGCAGGACCCACATCCCGGGGAGGTTCCCAACAGCAAGCTGGGTGTGTGTAGGACTCAGGAGGTCTGTGAACATGGAGTCTTCTGGGGTGGATGACCAGACTGGGACCTGCAGGGTGAATTAGAAACCAAGCCAGTCCTAACTGAGAGCTGGGAGACCCCATGGGCCTGGGAGGCTGGGTGTCCCTGGAGTGCCCTCCCAAGCCAGAGCCAGGGTGCTGGGACCCCCTCCACGGCAGGGACCCCCAGGCCTTTGAGTGAGAGGGGGGTCGATTGGGAAGAGCCCTTAGCTTGACTGTGGCAAAGAGAAAACCCGGAGGTCCCGGCTCCAGTGTCCCCACCAGCCGGAGTGGCTTCCCACAGACCTACCCATGCCAGTGGGTTCCAACAGCTCCGTTAGCTGGAAACACATGACCCATGGCTATACCCACTTCCCAGGTGGCAGGGAGGAGGCCTCCTGCCCTGTTCTAACAGAATGGACCTGGTAGATCTGGGAGCAGCCCCTCCTCTTCACACACAAGGGAGAAGCTCCTGTGCTCTGCACTGGACACTGGCTGTGGAGAAAGGGCAGTGGGGAGGGCGGCCATGCACAGGAAATCAGTGTTTCGTAATCCAGATGTTTCCGCCTCAGCATACCTCTCCCACACAGCATCTGGGCAAGGAAAAGATAAGAGATCCCTGAATCTGAAGCAAGAATGGGGTGTGGTTAAGTTATGCTTCAGAGCTGGACTCTGGGGAGAGGCCCTCGCTCCTGCACTGCCTGGAAGAGGGGAAGCCTGTCTGGTGGGGGATGGAAGAAGCTCCTAGAGCATGCACCCCTTCCTGCTGCACCCCAACTCCCAATTTTTTAACCTTGGGCCCCTAGTCAGGTTCTTTCATTTGCTACAACATACTAAAAAGAGGTCATTGCCATTTTACAGGCAGTGGATGTGCTGGAAGTGACTTGGAGTGCCCTCCCAAGCAGAACCCGGACCTCCCCGGGATGTGGGTCCTGCACCTCCGGCTTGGGAGGGCACTCCAGGGTTCTCCCCGCAGAGCCGGAACCTCGGGCGGTGCCTCGTCCCTGGGTGTGGAGGGACAAAGAGGAGATGCGTGTTCTGTGTCTTTCCTCACTGTGTCTGCACGCTGGGCTCCACCTCGCAGGGAGCATGGACTGCTCCTGGGGAATGGGGTTCCCACACCCACTGTGGGTTGTGTTCCTGAGGGCAGTCCGGCTTCTCTCCACTCCAGGTTGCGCTCCGGGCTTGCACTGACAGCTGACGTGCAGCTGACGTCCCTGGCCTCATCCCTGTCCCGCACTTGCGGAGCCCCTCCTGTGCGGAGGACCACGGTGCCCGTCTAATCACGGCAGAGCCAGTCCTAAGTGGTGACCAGGAGCGCACAGGCAGCCGTAAGATGCGATGCAAGGGTTGCCCAGCATGAGGCATAGCCGGTCCCGCAAGAAATAGTGAGGAGGGTGGGCCTGCTGGGTGGCAGGGAGAGTGGCAGGTGCTGGCACTGGAAGTGGAGCAGAAGGGTTGCAGGATCAAGAGCAACAGCAGGAACCAAGGGCCCGGTGCCAGCCGACTCCCAGAGCTGTCTCCCGTGGTGTGGCGGGAGGGTCTCGCCTCCCTGCACCGGGTCTTCTCTCTGGAGATGGCCTGCATGCCCTGCTCCTTTCTGTATGGCCCACGGGCTAAGAGCAGCTTCTCCCTTTGCAAATGGTTGGAAGACACAGGGCGAAGGGTAATAGATGGCGACACATGCAAAGTGTGTGAAACCCAGGTTTCAGCGATCACAAGGAGGCCTCTGGGCCCTGGTCACGCTCACTCATGAGGCTTTGTTTATTCGGTGTTTGTGCTAAGAGAGCAGAGGTGTGTCACTAGGATGGAGACCAGATGGCTTGAAAGGCCGTGGACCTTTGCTTTCTGTCCCTTGACTGGAAAGGGCTGGGTGGCCCTGGCATATATGAGGGGCCCCGGCTGAAGAGCAAAGAGCCTGGATTCTAGGCATGGGGCTGCCACGGATATCCTACACTGCCACATGGACTTGCTCACTGGCAAAATGGTGGTGAGAATGCCCCATAGTCTTGCAGAGATTGAAGATGATATCGCCATACAAAGCTCCTGGGATAGGGAGTGGTGACATAAGTGTATTTGTTGACAACAGTTGATGGTAATTTTGACTGCCTTGAGATATGAATTACCTTTGAGATAAGG